GACACTATTCCTAAGACAAGAATTTGGTGAACTTTCCTCAATCTTACAAACTAGGTTCCTGGGCCGGGGATTTAGATCAGTGGTTCTGCCACCTGCTTAGCAAGCAGAAGGTCCAGAGTTTGATCCCCAATACCAACAACAACAAAAAAACAAATTAGGCTCCTAACGCCTCAACCTGCACACCTCCAAGCCCCGTTGACACCCTCACATTTAAAAACCTACTAACAGTTTTAAGCTTGAAGACGTACTCCAAATTTCTTCAAACGTTACTCTGATCCCTTCTACTTTGTGGTGTTAACTAACCAAAGTTAATAAGTACCAATCTTCTTGCATATATCAAGTATGAGTTTTGTTGTTGCTGTTTACAGAATTGCTATTCACATGGTATATTGTGTACTACCTTGTAGAAAAATTGTCTGGGAACAATATCACATTGCTGTTTACACTGATCATGTGTCCCTTTAAGTCCTCCTACAGCTATTTCTGTACTAAACCCATAAACTTATACCTCACTCTACTGACCTCTCACTTAGCAGTTTCAGGGCATGACACCAGGAGCTAGCACTGAGAAACATGATATGAAATGGCATCACAAAGCCAAGTCACCAGCTTTTACAGTATAATAATGAGAATGCTAGCCACTGCATATGCAGTGTTTACTTGATGAAAATGCAAACAATAAATTTGTCTGGCCTCCTAGAATCAGGAAGAGGTGAGATTCTCCAATTTGGTTTCCTTTCTGGATATTCTGAAGTTGGTTATGAATTGTTTGCCTCTTCTTTTTGGTTACTGGAGAACTTTTAGCAAGAAGAGAATAGGATCTCAAAATATATAAACTAGCCTCACTCATCTTCTGTTTTTATATTAAATATACTTTATCTTGATATTATAGTCCAAATGCATCCTTTTACCCGTACTTGATGATATGCACTTATAATCAAGGCCGTATGTTGTCCCACTGTGAAATTCCCATGGCATCTATTACTATGTTTTACTACTGAATATTTGAAGAATTAAACAACAAAATATGTAAAATTTCACGGCAATGTGTTCCCAGAATTATAAAATAAGCAGTGTGGCAATGAACTGATCTGTCACCCTCAACACAATTCACAAGAGTGTGAATTGAAGTATATACAAGGGTGTTTGCTGAAGGATCATTAGCAGCAACTGTGAATCTAAAGGCCATCGACTGGGAAATGGTTAAGCATAAGGATACACGTGCACTATCACACATTATGGGGATCTAAATGAAAAAAGTGATGTGGAAGGTAGGCTGCAAAATGATCAATTTCTCATAAATAAACAGTACCTGGGCATATTTTGGTAGAAAAAAGGTCTGCAGGGGTATAGTACACCTCAAAACTGGTAACTGGTGGTTTTTAAGAGTGAAACCATGGAAGGTGGAAGGTGGGGAAGGGGTAAAAAAGGAACTTTCATTTTATTCTGATGGCCACAAGCTATTTATAGTTTTGTTTTGTTTTTATTAATGAGCTAGTTTTACTTTTGTAATAAACACACACATACTAGACAAAATATGATCTTGAGCTGTAAAACATTCTCAAATCTTCAAAATGCACAATGTCTTAGGATTTGGTCAGAGGTATGAAGCCAGACACTGCCAAGCTGAGTTGATGTCTTTGGTGTGGCTGACCAGGCTTTCCTTCGTAGCCTCCCATCCTTTAGCCTTTGTCTTGCCCTGGATTCTTCCAATTTCTTTTTCCCCCACAAAATACATAAGCAATTTGTTTCATAGTGCTTATACAGGTTTTAAAAATATGAAAAGGCAAGGAATCTTTCTTAATCAGAACTAAGCTATGGTCTTATAAGTCCTTAAATAACAGGTAATATTATAATGACCTAATGACATTCATCATTGTCCCAATATTTGTACATATATTAGAACAAACATGTTACTCAAGCAAGACTACTTTTAAGAATCATGTCCCTAAAAATTAGTATTCTGACAAGGGGGTTTTCCACTTTGTTCAAATTTTTCCATCAAGTAAAAATTCCTTCTGCCTCCCTTCCCACTAAATAAATATATATCTAGTAGGAAGAAATTTTCCATGTTTCAAAATACACTTCTGTGTGTGTAATAATAGGAAATGAACCTAGGGCCTTGCACATGCTAAGCAAGCACTCTACCACTGAACTGAACCCCCACCCCCGTGCCCAAAACAATGAGGGGCTTAATGAGTTTTAAGCCTATCCGGAGAAAACTAATTAAAATTATCTTGAGCAAGATAGTTTCTCCATGTCCCTAAAACTTCGAAGTTAAATTAAAACCAGTATATAAACTCATCATTGTGCAGTTGTTTCTAGGTTCAGGATCCACAACTGGGCTCCATGGGAGTAGTCAGATGGATACAGTAAGTCAGGAAGGTCAGAGATGACATAAGAGAAACCAGAGTTGAAGGCACTAGATAAATATATGACAGTCAGTATTTAGGAAGCATGAAAAAGAAGGGCAGAAGGAGGAAGGAGAAAACATTTATAAGGAAGGGTAAGGTCAAATATTGAGAAAATATGAAGTAAGGTAAGAAAAGCAGTCAGCACAGCAAGACGGGTCAAAGGGAGGATCCAACTAGGTCGCAGTGTCAATGATAAAAGCAAGCAGTAACCAAGCAACATGCTGGGGTGAACTCTGATACCTATGTTCTTTTACTGCAGGGTTTGTTTTACTTACTGGTTGGAGTGTTAGGTGTTGGAGTCAGATGTTAACTGCTATGAAAAAGGAAATCAAAAGCCTGCAGATACACTCTGCCCTTCATTAACTCTAGGACAGACACTGGAATTAGTTCGCAGATGCTGGTTGAGGTAGAAGCCCGTAGATCATGAAACAGACTTCACAGCCTAACCCTTTCATAAAATGGAATGAGAATACTTTTCTAATTCTCAGTTGAGGCAAGTGGCCAACTTCAGAACGAGTTTGATCAGCAAGTGGGGTTTAGAAACAACACACTCCATCCACTGCTTCTGCTCAAACTTCTAAAACCTGGAAAGGGAGGTGCGAGCCTCCTACTCACCACTGTGCCTTATAAGCTCCTGTGCTCCCTACCCAACCCACAAAAGTGAAAATCACCTCAATCCATCAGCCAATTTGTTCTGGATCCATTTGTCTTCTCTCCTAACCTACAGGGAAAAAAGTACTGCTCTTAAGAAACCTGCTTTCAGATCCAAGTTCACTCCTTTCACACTTCCTTTTCTTCCCCCAAAACCAACTGTTTTGCTTTGAAGTGAACAGAACCAGTGAGAAGTCCTCTTTTTTACACCAGCCCCATCCAGCTGCCTTTCATCTCTGTGAGTCTTATTCCATTCAGGCACCAATGAGTTGCCACACACACACTGTGTCCCTACTGTCAGGATTGGGACAGCAATCAAGTGTAAGCCAGCAGCACCACCAACCCTGCCCAGCCTGCTCCACTACAACTTGGTTTTCTAGCCAATGAACAAATGTTTTCCAAATAGTAGACTGTAATCTATTCACACAGGTTAAGATGTTTTAAGAATGCAGAATAGAAACAGTAATACAGTAGAAACAGAAACTTGCTTTGAATACACATATACTTATTTATGTCTTGGGTCTCAAAATAAAATGCATTTTGTGCTGCTGTCATCTAAAAATGTTTGAAACACTGCTTTCGACAAGCCTTGGTCACCCAGTCAACCCCCATCTAACACTGGCCCCATTGTCCAGCGGCTCTTTTTCTCCATGCTGGCTCAAGCTCTGAGCTGACTTCCAGCTATCTTCTCTTCACTGGCTATTTTCAAAAACCTTGGCCTTTTACTGTACACTGATTCACGAGCTCCTTCTCATGTATCCGTAAGACTTTATTCTCCTTCGACAGACCAATGTTCGGTGCAAAGAAATACTTTTTGCTATTTCTGCCTTATTCTGCTTTCTCAGATCTTGGATCTGCTTGCAGCACATCCAACTGTCTCACCAGGATTAACAGTACTCAGAGCAGTAGGACTCCATTTCTTTATGTACTACCTCTCCTACCCAACAAGGAAAAAAAATACAGTACAGCCAAAGTCGCTCATGAAATACCTTCAGTGTCCTTACAAAATTAGCCTGTTTCCTGATGTGCACATTCTTGGGTGTAATAATACGTCCCCGTGCCCGATAACCAACAACACAGGTGAATACAGGCATCCCTACTGTTCAGTGAAGCCTGTTTTCCATCCTGAGAACAGATGGCTACTCCGCCTCCATATTGCTGTCTTCTTCTCAGAGGGCAAATGTAAGGAGGGAAAGCACAATGAGGTGACTGTACCAGCATGGTGGGATCCTTTCTTCTCTTCTCAAAGACAAGGGCACAAGCTGTCCAGCATAACTCTACTCCCAAGCCCCCACAATTCGCACCCAAACAATTAATTCACTATCTTCCTCCAAAGAAAAATTACAGTTTTCTGTAACTCAGTGTAGACTGAGTTTACTCTTTTCAGGCAAACTAAGTATCCCACTTTTTAACCCTCGAAGAGGTACTGAAGCCTAAATGAATCTTTCTTTAATCTATAATCAAGATACTAATTAAGAAAGGATAGGGCCAGGGACTTAACTCAATGGTTCTGCCACCTGACTCTCAAGCGCAAGATCCTGAGTCCAATCCCCCTGCACCACAAGAGAGAGAGAGACAGAGAGAGAGAGAGAGAGAGAGACAGAGAGAGAGAGAGAGAGAGACTGACACTGAAGTCTGGAGGGTTTCTTACAAATGAAACTGCTCAGTTTCCTTTAATACTTGTAAAGCCATCTTTGAGAAAAGATCACAGATGCCCAGCCTCCCTTAGAGCACCAAGGAAGGAGGATGAGCAGGTCCCACAGGCATAAGATGGCTGCCCTCTTGCTAGGGTACAACAAACACTCTCAAAGGGAAAGGGACAGGAGGACCCATCAAACTTCAGGTATACTCCACATCCGCCTTAAAACTGTACCCTTCAGTTGTTGCACCCCAGCCCTCTTCCCATTTTCCAGTCAGGAATCTAGGGCTCCTTACCACCACATGGGTTATCTGGCTGTAGGGAGGGCCATCCCCTCTCTGGCACAGCAGGTATTTCCTCCTTCCCTCTCCTGGGCAGTGATGCTCCTGATCAGTATGTCACTGAGGCAGGCTTCGGGTAGCTCCCTGCTCCAAGCCTTCCTTGGTAACCACAGAATCTCTCCAATGGAGAGTTCCTAAAATGAAGGCAAAGATAGGCCAACTCTCTCTCGTACCTTACTTTGGGGTCTATTCAGCAGAACACAACAAAGACCCAGCTTCTCTGCAGTTTGCAATACATAGTCTCAGCCTCTTGACTCCTTCAGTTCCCATTTACCTCCAAGTAAATACAGCGCTTTAATAGCAAAGGGCCAGCATTTCTTCCTCCACAGTAAAGAAAGCTTACAGTGAAAAAAACCAGAACAGAAAGTGAATAATAATGACTACGCAGCTGGGTCCAAGGCATCCCGCCTAGACACATAAAAAAATCATGCAAGATGACACAATAAAGATTCAAACTCTGGAAGGAGGCAATGTAGCAAAAGGGGTTGCAGGGGTAGGGGAAAATAAGCATCCTAAAAACAAATTATTCTCTGGAAATGAAGTAGGGGACAAAGGAAAATCCAGGGTTCACTCATTCTTTCAAATTTTCTAACATGGTGAGGGTACACGTTCCTAATTTAATTTCACCCATACAATTTAAGGAAGGGAAAGGGAGGGAAACTGTCTACTTCATATGCAGGGCACGTAAAAGGGAGCTAGGATTCTCGAACTTAGGAATTTAGTGGCTACGCAAAGGTGAGACTGTATTCCACCATTCAATGCATGGTCACACAGCAGTATTTCATCTAAAAAATACAATTTTCTTAATTCATGACTTTGTACAGGTTTTACTAAAATGACAGCTTTCTGTTTAGTGCACACATCAATCCCCACCATCTACACTCTTCTATCTTGGCTCGCAAAGTGGTACCTGAATTAATTTAAACAGCATCAGAGTTCACGCTTTAAGGTCAGTTTTACAGTTTCACATAAAAACGTGCATATTAATCCTTAATTACAATAAAGAAAACAGACTAGCAATCGTGACCTTTAACTAAACTTAGACACCTAAAAGTACTTTTACAGAGGTTTTCCTACCTCTGTGACCGGTCGGGAAAATGCTGGCATCGCAAGCCCCATTTCCTGGCTGGGTAAACCGAGGGACTCTGTTTAACAAATCTGGCAGGAATTAGAACGTCATCTCTTTCTGACTCTGCGCTCGGTCCCTTTCCCAAAAGACTCTTCAGCACTCGGTGCTAAAAATGGGACCCACTTGAGAGCTGCAAGGGTAAATAAAAGCTACAGTACTTGCTTTAGGGGAGGCTGGAGGGGGGGCACTCGGTACGCCTAACCGCACGTGGGTGTCTAACAAGAACGCCTCCGCAGGACGCACAAAGGCGGCACCCACCCCTGGAGCTGAGACCCCAGGGCAGCGCCGGGCGAGCGGGGGAG